CCGGCTTGCGCAGGAACGCCATGAGGTTCCTGAGTGTCGGGTCCTTGAAGCGGTTGGACGCCTGGAGCTCGAAGCACAGCGGCGTGTTGCAGAAAAGCTTCATCACTGCCTGGTACTCTGGTGCGAGGTTGATGCCCGCCGCCGCCAGTTCCTCGAAGCTGGAGATGAGCGACACCTTGCCTCCCGTCGGCTTCAGCTGCAGGAAGTCCCCCAGGTGGATCACGTTGGGCATCCGGCCGAAGGCGCCGCCGACCTGGTCGTACTCCCGCTCCTCCGCGCCCCACTCGGCCTTGCGTCCCAGGTAGGACCGGGACCCGCACTGGGACCTTGCGTCCCGGACTGCGCCACTGGGACCTTCGGCGGAGCTCCCTGTGGGGCCACGAAACGTGTGAGGGGTGTGCCGAAATGGGTGTGCGGGACGCATGCGGACGGCAGCACTGGGGCCTTCGGTGGAGCTCCCTGTGGGGCCACGAAACGTGTGAGGGGTGTGCCGAAATGGGTGTGCGGGACGCATGCGGACGGCAGCGCCTTCGGTGTGGGGCCACGAAACGTGTGAGGGGTGTGCCGAAATGGGTGTGCGGGACGCATGCGGACGGCAGCACTGGGGCCTTCGGTGGAGCTCCCTGTGGGGCCACGAAACGTGTGAGGGGTGTGCCGAAATGGGTGTGCGGGACGCATGCGGACGGCAGCCATGGGGCCTTCGGTGGAGCTCCCTATGGGGCCACGAAACGTGTGAGGGGTGTGCCGAAATGGGTGTGCGGGACGCATGCGGACGGCAGCACTGGGGCCTTCGGTGGAGCTCCCTGTGGGGCCACGAAACGTGTGAGGGGTGTGCCGAAATGGGTGTGCGGGACGCATGCGGACGGCAGCCACTGGGGCCTTCGGTGGAGCTCCCTGTGGGGCCACGAAACGTGTGAGGGGTGTGCCGAAATGGGTGTGCGGGACGCATGCGGACGGCAGCACTGGGGCCTTCGGTGGAGCTCCCTGTGGGGCCACGAAACGTGTGAGGGGTGTGCCGAAATGGGTGTGCGGGACGCATGCGGACGGCAGCCATGGGGCCTTCGGTGGAGCTCCCTATGGGGCCACGAAACGTGTGAGGGGTGTGCCGAAATGGGTGTAGGGGACGCATGCGGGCGGCAGCCCTCGGGCCTTCGGTGGAGCTCCCTATGGGGCCACGAGACGTGTGAGGGGTGTGCCGAAGTGGGTGATGACGATGACGATGACGACGATGACAATGACGAAGCTGATGATGATGATGATGATGATGATGACGATGATGATGATGATGATGATGATGATGATGATGATGACGATGCTGATGATGATGATGATGATGATGATGATGGGAGGAGGGAGGAGGGGGAGGAGAGAGGAGGAGGAGGAGGAGGTGGGACGCGGGGCGCTGTCTCTTCAAAAGAGGACCCAACACCACAGGATGGTTGGGAAAAATAGCAAAAAAATAGTCAGGGGACGATTTTTCTACCATTTTCGACCATGTTTGGGGTATTGTTCTGAGTATTTTCATTTTTTGTCCAGAATCCCCCTGTAGGAGGACAGGCCCGACTTAACTGTGGCGTGGGTGGCACGAGGGGCACACGGGCGCCGCATTACTCTCGTTTGCTCTTGCGTGTGGGGCGGGGGCCACGTGCTTCAGTTCTTGCACTCGTCGCTTAAGAGGAGGAGGAGGAGGAGGAGGAGGAGGAGGAGGAGGAGGAGGAGGAGGAGGAGGAGGAGGAGAGGGAGGAGGAGGAGGAGGAGAGGAGGAGGAGGAGGAGGAGGAGAGAGGAGGAGGAGGAGGAGGAGGAGGAGGAGGAGGAGGAGGATGAGGAGAGGAGGAGGAGGAGGAGGAGGAGGAGGAGGGGGGGGGGGGGAGGAGGAGGAAGGAGGAGCAGGAGGAGGAGGAGGAGGAGGAGGAGGAGGAGGAGGAGGAGCAGCAGGAGCAGAAGGAGGAGAGGGGGACCACGTGCTTCAATTTTTACACTCATCGCGTGATCAATACATTAGCTGCGCAGTACCACCAAACGCACGTGGTGTACGCAGACTCGCCTCGCACCGAGGAGCCCAGCACACACTCCCAGCCGAGGATCTCCTGGGGCTGATCTGCTCCCTCTCTGGGAGGTTGAATTCAGCATCGGCGCTGGCACATCGGTGGGCGAAGACAGGCACAATCCCGCTTGATCCGGCCGAGTCCCACTTCTACCGCTGAATACCGGGCTTAATCCGCCCTGGTCTGGTGTAGTGGCCCCTTAATCGTGCTCAATCGCCCCCACTTGTTCTCACAAAGACCTCCCAGGAGTTGCTTCCTGACTTCTCCCCCAGAAGGAGGCGCTCGTTACCCTCGGTGACCCAATCTAGGAGGAGGGGCAAGAGGGAGGCAGGGGGCGGAGGGAGCGGGGCGGGCGAGTCTGGGAGCGACGGGTGCGAGGAGGAGGAGGAGGAGGAGGAGGAGGAGGAGGAGGAGGAGGAGGAGGAGGAGGAGGAGGAGGAGGAGGAGGAGGAGGAGGAGGAGGAGGAGGGGGAGGCCATGATGATGATGATGATGATGATGATGATGATGATGATGATGATGATGGATGCTGATGATGATGATGATGATGATGATGCTGATGATGATGATGAGCTGATGATGATGGATGATGATGCTGATGCTGATGCTGATGCTGATGCGATGCTGACGCGAGGACGAGGACGAGGACGAGGACGAGGACGAGGACGAGGACGAGGAGGAGGACGGACGAGGACGAGACGAGGACGAGGACGAGGACGACGAGGATGAGGATGAGGATGATGAGGATGAGATGAGGATGAGGATGAGGAGAGGATGCTGATGCTGATGCTGATGCTGATGCGGTGCAGTTGCTGATGCTGATGCTGATGCTGATGCTGATGCTGATGATGCTGGTGATGCTGATGATTGATGCTGATGATGATTAGATGATGATGATGATGATGATGATGATGATGATGATGATGATGATGATGGTGATGGTGATGATGATGATGATGATGATGATGATGATGATGATGATGATCTGATGCTGATGCTGATGCTGATGCTGATGCTGATGCTGATGCTGATGCTGATGCTGATGCTGATGCTGATGCTGATGCTGATGCTGATGCTGATGATAATGATGACGCTGAGGAGGAGGAGGAGGAGGAGGAGGAGGAGGAGAAGGAGGGAGGAGCCGTGTAAACCTAAGACGCATCAGCGATGTTGCAATACACCTTGCCTCCAAGTTCCCTCTTCATATTTGTTTTCACTGCTGGAAGTGCCCCGCTGGAAGACGAACGTCTGAGAATCCTCAATCGTGCCAAAATGCAACTCTTTCGATTTCAACCCCGCGAAGCATCCTGACGATCCTGCATCGTGCCAAAACGCAATTCCTGAAACTTCAACATAGCGAATCAGCATGACTGGTGCGCCCTGACATTGCAATGTCGCGCCGGAGCACAGTTCCCGGGACGTCAACTCGAAGAACTAATAAACTGTTGTAACTTAAGAAGATGGGTTCGCGCGGCGCTAAGGCGAGAGCTAATGCTGAACCACAGCCGCCCTCCATTCGTGACACTCTTGAATGGCGGCGCTGCGGCCAGAGCCACAGTTTGAAAACCACCCGACCTCCATCCGCGAATCGATTTTCAATTTTTAGGACGAATGCGCGCGGCGCCAAGGCGAGAGCCACATGTTGAAAAGGAACCGCCCTCCATCCGTGAAGCTCCTGGACACTTTTAGGACGACGGTGCGCGGCGCCACGGCGAGAGCTGCATTCTGAAATGGAGACGCCCTCCATCCGAGAAGCTCCCGGACACTTGTAGGACGACAGTGCGCGGCGCCACGGCGAGAGCTGCATTCTGAACAGGGGACGCCCTTCATCCGTGAAGCCCCTGGGCACTTTCAGGACGAATGTGCGCGGCGCCACGGCGAGAGCAGCATTCTGAACAGGAGACGCCCTTCATGCGTGAAGCGCCTGGACACTTTTAGGACGAATGTGCGCGGCGCCAAGGCAAGAGCTGCATTCTGAAAAGGAGACGCCCTCCATCCGTGAAGCTCCTGAACACTTTTAGGACGACTGTGCGCGGCGACACGGCGAGAGCTGCATTCTGAACAGGGGACGCCCTTCATCCGTGAAGCTCTTGCAGGCTTTTCGGGCGAAGGTGCGCGGCGTTTCGAGCGAGAGCCACATCTCGACGAACAGCCGTCATCTATCTGCAAAGCTCTTGCTACCCTTCAAGACGGCATCGCGCAGCACTGGGGCGCGAGCTGCATGTTAAAGACGAGCCCGCCCTCCACCCGTGAAGCTCCTGCGCGAGTTCAAGGCGAAGGTGCGTGGCGCGAGGACGAGAAACACATTTAAAACAACGACCCGCCCGCCATCCGTGAATACGTTGCAGGCTTTTAAAAGCGAGTGTGCGGGACGCTGAGGCGAGAAACGCATGTTGAAAACGACCCGCCCTCCATCCGTCAAACTGTTGCAAACGTTTAGGACGAAGGCGCGTGGCGCTGAGGCGAGAAACACATGTTGAACACGACCTGTCCTCCATCCGTCAATGTGTTTCAAGCGTTTAAGGCGAAAGTGTGTGGCGCTACGGCGCGAAACACATTTAGAATACATCCGCCCTCCATCCGTGCATCTGTCGCAAATTTAAAGCTTCAGGGTTAGAAATGGTGAGGAGGCCTTAGGCGAAACGCCCGGCCCGCCCCACGGACGCGTCGCGGTGTGTGACAGGCAGGAGTTATTTATAATGCAAAGGGGTGGAGGAGGAGGAGGAGGAGGAGGAGGAGGAGGAGGAGGAGTCCTCATGGAGGAGAGGAGGAGGAGGAGGAGGAGGACGAGGAGGAGGAGGACGACGACGAGGAGGAGGAGGAGGAGGGGAGGGGGAGCAGGAGGAGGAGGAGCAGGAGGAGGAGGAGGAGGAGCAGGAGGAGCAGGAGAGCAGGAGGAGCAGCAGCAGAAGCACTGGGCCGCGCGAGCCCCCCCCCCCCCCGCGCCGAGGAGGCGGCGCAGAAGGGCCCCGCCGCCTCGGAGCTGTAGGGCCTCGGCGGCGGGCGTCACTGCCGCCTGCGGTGTGGCCGCGGGCTACCGCGCGTATCAAGACTTGCACGGGCTCATCCATTGGACAGCACCTCGAGAAAGGGAAGGGCCCCTCCTCCTCCTCCTCCTCCTCCTCCTCCTCCTCCTCCTGGTCCTCCTCTGCCCCTCCTCCTCCAACTCCTCCTCCTCTTCCTCCTCCTCCACCTCCTCCTCCTCCTGCTCGTCTTCCTCCTGCTCCTGGTCCTCCTCCTCCTCCTCCTCCTCCTCCTGCTCGTCTTCCTCCTCCTCCTCCTCCTCGTCCTCCTCCTCCGCCTCCCTCCTCATCATTTCCTCCCCGCGCAAGGCGAGAGCCACATGTTGAAAACCACCCGCCCTCCATTATTTAAATTGCCGCAGACTTCAAGCTTCAGCAGCATCATAATTGGTGAGGGCGTCTCGGGCGAAACGCCAGGCCCGCCCTACCGATACGTCTGAAGGCGCGACAGGGAAGAGCCAGTCAGAAGGCAGAAGGGGAGGGATGGACTTATCGAAGACGCCTACGGCGAATCACCGCCGCCCCCTGCCTTTGTGGAAGCGCCGATGTGGCCGAACGTTGAGGCCAGCCCTGCCAAGCTATCGGACCATGTGTTCCCCGAATCGGTTTGGCAAGCCTTCGGGGAACAAGTGGCCATCTTGAAGATCATCCTGGCCGTCTGGAGGCATGTGACCCTTTCGCTTTCTTGGAGGACGCCTTGGAGGGCTCTTAGGCCGTCTTGGAGGCCATCTTGAGCGTCTTGGAGGCCTCTTAGGCCGTCTTGGGGGCTTCTTGGGCCGTCTTGGGCCTCTTCGGCGATGGTTGGGGGCACTTGGGCCGTCTCGGGCCGTCGGAAGGCCGGAACAAAAATCAAATGCCACAATCCTTCAAACACTTATGAGAAATCAATGATTTTGGTTTTTGTCGGCCCTTCCTGGAGGCCCTTTCGGAAGCCTCTTGGGCCGTCTTGGGCCATCTTAGGGCCATCTTCGGCCGTTTTGGTGGGCTCCTGGCCCGTCCGACGCCGTCGGAAGCCGTTTGGGGGCCCCTCTGGGCCGACTTGGGGCCCTCTTGGAATGCTCCAGGGACGTCTTGGAGGCCATCTTGGACGTCTTACCTGAGGCCATCTTGGAGCCCGCATCACCCTAACTCCCATTTGCGTCCAGGAGGCTCCAGCTAAACTGGCCGTCCAAGAACCAAGTGGCCCGATTCAATCGACCATTCTGCGGTGCACGCTGAGATGCGCACGTGCGTTGTACCGCCAAGCCGCACGACAGGGGGTAAGAAGGAGGAAAAGGAGGACGAGGAGGAGGAGGAGAAGGTGGAGGAGGAGGGAGGAGGGAAAAACGTCGCATTCGATTATCAGAACTTTCCTGGCGTGGCGTTTAGTTGTCCGCATCAGTCAGATCCTGACGTACATGCTCCTTCTACCTGTCCTATGCACGCAAGCACTGTGGTGTACACCAGCGCTGCGTTGCACGCGGATGCTGTGGTGTAGACAGGCGCTGTGGCGTGCACAGGCGCTGCGGTGCACGCAAGCACTGTGGTGTAGACAGGCGTTGTGTTGCACATGGCTGCTGCGGTGTATGTACACCGGCGCTGTAGTGCTCCCAAGTATTGTGGTATACACTGGCGGTGCGTTGCACTCGGCTGTTGCGGTGTACGCAGGCGCTGTGGTGCACACGCGCGGTGTGGTGCACGCGAGCGTTGTGGTGCACACAGGCGCAATGGGCAGATCGCCACTTACATGCTGCTCGCGTCGTCGTCGCTCGTCGCTCGTCGCTCGTCGCGTCGTGCGCGCGGGCGCGGCTGTGGTGCCGGAACCACACGGCGGGGGGGGGGCGTCACGTCATACCCCCTTCCGCCCTCCCCCCCCCATGATGCCCGTTCGCCGAACATAAAGAAACGCCTTCTATCATGATTTGCGCACTGGGAGTTGTGAGGGACTGACGTGTGAGAAAGGAGTAGGGGCAACGAGTTGCGAGCAGGATCTCGTCGGTAAAATGGAGTAGTAGGAGTAGTAGTAGTAGTAGTAGTAGTAGTAGTAGTAGTAGTAGTAGTAGTAGTAGTAGTCGTGAGAAGTTGGGGAGTGTGACGGAAGTCGGGGTGAGCGCGTAGTGAAATCGAGCAGGAAAGGGGGAGTACGTTTTCAGTGTTGCAGTGGAGTAGCACGTGGTGAGTATCATCGATCGAGTCGTTGGCGCTGCCTCGTCGGTGAGGCGTTTCAGGACCCCGTCCGACCCGTCTCTCAAGTCGTTGTTGTCTTCCAGCGTTGTCCAGAAAGCCATCATGCAGCCGTCAGTCATCTTCATCACGTGCCCGAGCTCTGCATCTGCGAGCCGCTGCTGGACACTGCTCAGCCTCTCTGGGCTCAGTGCCCAAGTGCGGCAGCACCGCGGAATTACGAGGACCCAACGACGCAGCTGGTGATGGAGCCGTCGATCCCAGAACGTCACCCGCGTCCGCAGGCAGAGTTGAACATGCTGGTGCGACGACTTCTATCACGCTCCGTGGCGCTGGCGCGCGCGACGATCTCGTCTTCCACCGGGAGGAGGACGAGGACGAGGACGAGGACGAGGACGAGGAGGAGGAGGAGGAGGGGGAGGAGGAGGAGGAGGAGGAGGAGGAGGAGGAGGAAGAATAAAAAGAAGAAGAAGAAGAAGAGGAAGAAGAAGAAGAAGAAGAGGAGGAGGAGGAGGAAGAGGAGGAGGAGGAGGAGGAGGAGGAGCGTACCTCGTGCCGATCTCGTGCTCCCTCTCGAGGCGGCCGCCCAGCGTGCTGGTCGCAGTCCCGAGGCCTGCGTGGTGCAGGGGCGCAGGCAGCGCCGCGCCCTCGCCGAGCGGGCCCCCGCCTGGGCCGCGAGGGCGGAGGCGACGAGGACCCCGCTCCTGGCCCGAGGGCGGAGTGCACCGCGACGGGGCCGACCACTGCGGTGAATGTTGTGCGTGAAGTCCGAGGCGGGAACTTCACATGACCACCGCCTGGAGGATCAATTGTCCCGTACCTCGGCAGGCGGTGTGTGAAGTCCACTCATATCACATATCTATCCACCTATCCGTAAGAAGGGCGTGTCCCTCTACAGGAGGAATATTCAAAAACAGTCAAAGACTAGTCTGGGAACGATTTTTGATGATTCTTGACTGTTCTTAATATTGTTGGAATCGTTTTTATTTTTCGTCCAACATCTCTCTGTAGGGGGACATACCCGACCTAACGCTACCGTCTCGGCTCAGGTATTGGACAGTCCTGCTGGACAGCACTCGCGCCGCTCATCCCGCGGCCCGAGAGGCTCTCACGGCAGCAGTCTCTCTCGCCGCCGCGGTGCCGTGGCCGGGCCACCGCCATGCTCGCTGCGGGCCCGCACGCCGGTGCCAGCACATGCTCTGAAGACCATCGAGCACAGTGAGGTCGCAGCGGGGCCCTGCCGCCACGGACTGATGATGAGGATGAAGATGATGGTGATGGTGATGACGATGACGACGATGATGGTGGTGATACTGATGCTGTTGATGATGATGATGATGAGGATGAGGATGATGATGATGACGATGATGATGATGATGATGATGACTATGATGATGATGATGATGGTGATGATGATGATGCTGCTGCTGCTGATGATGATGAGTTGATTATGATGATGGTGATGATGATGATGCGAATGATGGTGATGATGAGGAATATGATGATGATGATGATGATGATGATGAAGATGATGCTGCTGATGCTGCTGCTGATGATGATGTGTTGATCATGATGATGGTGATGATGATGATGCGAATGATGGTGATGATGAGGAATAGGATGATGATGATGATGATGATGCTGATGCTGACGCTGATGATGATGCTGCTGCTGATGATGATGATGATGATGGTGATGATGATGATGATGATGATGATGATGATGATGATGATGCTGCTGATGCTGCTGATGATGATGTGTTGATCATGGTGATGGTGATGATGATGATGCGAATGATGGTGATGATAATGAATTCTCGATGATGATGATGATGATGGATGATGATGATGATGATGATGATGATGATGATGCTGATGATGATGATGATGATGATGATGATGATGCTGATGCTGATGCTGACGCTGATGATGATGCTGCTGATGATGATGATGATGATGATGATGATGGTGATGATGATGATGATGATGATGATGATGATGATGATGATGCTGTTGTTGTCGCTGCAAGCGACTATACCGAAGGAGCAGTACTGGGCAGCGACGTGTGGGAGCTGGGCGGGGACTGCGCACGACCCCCGCTGCGCCCTTGCCGTGCCGAGCGGGCTCGAGTGACTCGAGCGGGCCTCCGCCCGCCTCAACGAGGCTCGCGGGGCACCCCGCGGGGGGGGGGGAAGGCCGCCGCGGGGCCCTGCCGCCATGGACGGCCTGCTGGCCAGCCTGGCCACCTTCGACGGCGGCCACCGCCTCGTCGGCCTCGCGGGCGCCGCGCCGTGTGCGCGCCTGGCCCGCGCCTCGCGGGCCACCGGCGAGGCCATCACCTGGCAGCTCGTCTCCTCGGCCGCGCGCAGGAGAGACCCTCCCAGGCCCTCCGACGTCCTGGGCTTCGCATGGCGGCGTTGCCCCACCCGGAGATCCGACGCGCCCCCCCAACACAAAGACATGGAGCGGCGGGTTGTGGGCCCTGTTCGGCCTCCTGGGGCCCTCGCCGGGCCTCAGGACGGGCGAACAAGCGGGCCTGGGGAAGTGGTCCAGACCTTCAGAGTGCAGGCATCAACAAAATTGTAGCAGCCAGACGTCTGGGCAGAGCCCTGGACCTTTTCCACGGGGCGGGCTCTCTATCCCTGGTCGCTTTGTGACGGTCCCGAAGCATGGCGAGAGCCTCGATCGGCCGACACTTGTGAAGAGACGTCCGCCTGGAGCTTCTCGAGGCGCTGGAGGTCTGGGCTGGGCGAGGGTGGCCTTTGGTGCGCCTCTTCGGGGCGGCGCGGGGGGCCAGACCCAAGCCACGGTGGGCCCGCACCAACGGCCACGCCGGCGAAGGGTCACGTCTTGCGCGTGGCCGATATCCACCGTCTTCGCGGCGCTGCCGGCGCCCGCGGCGCCCGCGGCGCCCCGCGCCGCGGGCAGGCCAGCCCTG